TAGAGACATGAGAAAATGCAATATGTGGTTGTATATATATGTATGCATAAAATTATATACAGACATAGACAAGCATATAGCTACTTGTTAGATATTAATTTGAACATATTAAATATAAACATATGTATAATAATATAATACATATATATATATATATATATATATATATATATATATATATATATGTATAACCAAATGGATAAATATATGTAAATGTACAAGTGAGCATTTGTATACAAATACATATACATACATATATATATATATATATATATATATATATATATATATATATATATATATATATATATATATATATACTCTATAGTATATGAAAAACAGCACTCAATGTTAAATAACAGAGTTATTCAATATATTAAGAAATATATATATCTTACATTGATTGCACAACTCAGTGTTTCATACATTCTGTGTTCGTCAGGTGCAGTTTTTTGGTTCAACACCACTTCTACAATATTTCTGTTTATTGCAAGATACTTTATTGTAGGGATGGATTATTATTTTTGTTAAAATATTTAAATGAATTGTAGTTTAATTTTGGATTTGAATTTAAGCCCAGATTAGCATTTAAGATTTATATATATATTGTATATATATATATATATGCACATACATATATTTATATACAAAGTACATTTCTAATAAAAACAATAAACTAAATAAAAAAATGAATAAATTGAGACCAAATGTAATATATATATATATATATATATATATATATATATATATATATATCCAGGTAAGATGAGAATGAACAGAGTACAATTCAAATGTTTGTAACATTTAATTTAAAAGAGTGTTCAATACAAAGTAGAGCAATATCATTTATTTTAGGATATTACACTGAAAACACTGTGTTTCAATGCATATCAGTGCATCTCATTAATTGTAAATTACTGAAGAGTAAATGATTTATTTAGGTTTAAAATCAAAATACAACCTCTTTTTACAAAAAATAGAAAAAAGTGGGGGTTATAAAGTTTGTGATTGATCAGATCTAGCCCCCACTTTATATATGTTTCAGCATTCACTGATATATATGTATATATATATATATATATATATATATATATATATATATATATATATATACACACAAATACAAAATCTGATCAAAAAGTATTGGGACTGATGCCTAAAAAGAAAACTATAACCCAACATATCAATTTGGCATTCAATCTCCTTCAAAGCAGTCCCCTACTGAAAGCAAACACTAGAAATGATTTACTGATACAAGTCCTACTAATTAACCCATAGCTGGGGGGTGAAGTTGTGGATTCATATATTTCTCAAAAATATTTGGACTTAAGTTAATATAACATATCTGACTGGAATTTGAACTTGGCTAACCGATTTCCAAGTTGTTATCCATTACATAACCTGCATATCCAGGCTTACAACACCTGATATTCCCAAGTGTTATTGAGCAGGTTTGATATTGTTTAACTTTGGTGATCGTACAAGAACTGGTGCTTCCACATGATAATCTCTAAGTCCACATAGATATAAGTAGATATAAGTATCAACACTAGATGGAAACAATCAATTTCATGTCTAAATACAATTGTCAGACCATGTATATGTCAGATTTCATTATGCAAGCTTATGTTTTTACAATAAAATGTTAAGGATGTACTTATATGATAAGTATAGCTCATGATTGAGTTTTTCTTTTTTTTTAATTGGTACCATCCCATACTAGGCAGTAAAGCCTCTAAAACATAAGAGGTTACTGGTTGTGAAAGAATTAGAGATAAAAACATTAATAATGAGTGGGAAGAGAAAAGATTAATCAAGAGGATAGTAAATAGTGATTTTCACTGGATTAACATTTTTGCAGATTAAAGTTTGCTGGAAATGTATGGTTACCTCTAGCTCGCTTAACTGTAAATTGATCAGATCATTAAATTCAAAAAGCCTAGAGTAGCAAAGAGTTCATCCAAAAAATTACTGTAAAAGTATTTATAGAAAAAACATAGAGGGACAACCTTATGGTGATGGAAAAGTGACTGAAGCCAAGCCACCAGATCAAGACCAATAATATTGCTGATTCTTCTTTGGATCAAGGATCTCTAGATAAATAGCAGGATCACCTGACCATATGTAGCAGCAATACTCTAATCATGGATGAATGATAGACTTATAGATATGTAGGATAGATTCTAAAGAGAAAAACTATCTTGCACAACACAGGGAACCAACATTTATAGTAGCTGACCTACCAATGTATAGTATTTCCACTTCATGATAGACAAGAACATTAGTCCTAGAAGGTACAATGAGTCATTTTCATGGAAGTTAGCATCAGCCATGCTAATGGACTCCAGAGAAAGGTCTCTCAAATGATTAATGGAGAGAAGTTTAGTGTTGGAGGCATTAAAATTAACAAACTATCTTTTGCCTCAGTTAACAACAGACAGAAGGTCGTTTTATTAAAAATATTTAAAATATCTTATTTTGTGGTGAAAAATTTTATTATGCACCTCCTGAATTATTTAATATCTTGTAAATAAATGTAAATAACAGTATTGACATTGATATTTCTTTTTAAATTTCTGATATGTAAAGACTCGTGTGGGTCATAAAAAGAAATAAACTGCAAAATAGAAACAAAATATTGTAACATTATTGAGTGATGTGAACATAACATTAGAAATTGTGAAAAAAATTGAACAGAAATACAGCAAAAAAGACATTGCAAAACATTAACAAGAAAACAAGAAAAAAACTGTCTTCAAAAATATCAAAGATAGATTTGATAACAATTAAAATAGTAATAAATAAAAAAAGGTGATTGATCTGCAAGAAAATATTTGAAGAAACTTGTGTTGTAAATTTAAACAAAAAGAAAAGATGCTAAAGCCATGAAATCAAACAAATTTTTGATGTTTACTCAAAGGTGGTTAAATTTGTTGATTTTTATGGCTTTAGCATTTTTCTTTTGGTTTACATTACAAAGAGAAATGCTTAAGTTGTGTGAGGAAAGATATGAAACTGATTTCTTAATAATAATTTTTAGTGATGAATGTAGAGCTACATTGAATGGACCTGATGGCTAAACTAATAGTTGTTTCTTTTTACTGAAATTGTCAACCAAGTTGGAATGTTTTGGGCTAGTATTGTAAGCAATAAAACTATTTGCCCATTCCAAAAAATGATGTCACAATATATGAAGAAAATTATTGCAAGTTCTTGGACAAGACATTCTTTGAGTTGTACAGGTCAAAACCAGGATGATTTAATCTAAAGAGTATATTCATGTAGGACAATGCTCTTTCACATTTTACAATGCTGTCTATTGTTCACCTTGCCAAAAATAGTTTCAATGTCATTAAGTTAATGGAATGGTCTTCAGCATTTACAAATATGAAATGAATAGAAATGGCCTATCAATAAAAGAGATATAGAAATGGAAAGCAATATTCAAGCAAAGATCTGCTGGAAGCAATAACATCTGCTGTAAGTAATTCTAAAATTGAAGAAGCATAAAAGCTTTACAAAAAAAAATAAATAAAATGTTTTAAAAATTTAAAAATGTCTGACTGATAAACATTGAATTTCAAAGTGCTCATATAAAAAATTAAAATAATATATATTCAGGTATATGGGATATTGTGTTAATCAAATATATATTTCTGTGACCTATGTCTAATGCAACCAGTCTAAGAAGACAAGTCTGAATTCAAAACCTCCAACCATGGATTAAATAGCCTGACCAACCCACAATTGTCCAAGCGTGGTGAATATGGCCACATTCCTGAAGACATGGTTACTCAGGGAAGGGTGTGAAGGCTCTGTACGTAGATCCAAAGTAGGTGACACTCAATCCTGGATTCAATGTCTTTGGAATTATAAAAAATAAAATTAAAGTTACATTTTACTTGTTTGCATAATAAAACTTGATATGTCCTCAAAAAAGCAATGCATACATATATATATATATATATACATACATATATCAACATATATATTGGTTGTTCTGTATGTGCACATGTTACATTAAGTTAATCTACAAGAAAGTGTGGTTCTTGTGTGACAACAAGTATTTAATGTTGTTTTTGATTAGAAATGGGATCACTCAAAAGCTGCAAGAATTCATAAATGACATTATTTCTAAATATATTTTGAGATTTCAGTTATTTGCGATAATGAGATGAGAAGGTTTAAGCTTTTATAGAAAGTGATAAATCTAAGATATTCATTATAAACTAAACTCCACACTCTCTTGTAGGTTAAGTGGTCACTTATATATCCTGTTCAGTCAATTTCCTGTTTTTGAAAATATTTGTGGTCATGAATGTATCATCTTAACTATTAATCATACAAGACTATAGAGAACTCTAATATACTTTAGTTTTAGTAGGGCAATGGCAGCATACATGGTGGATTAAAAGAAAATTGTTATTCTTCTCCATGACTACAAAAAGATACATCCAGCAAGAATAACACAAGAAAAAAGTTTGCAACTCTTTTGATGTCTTCTGTTCCAACCTCCATATTCACCTGACCTTGCACCAACTAATTATTACCTAATTCAATTGCAGCAAAATATTTTGTTGGGAAAAACTTTCTCCAGTGAAAACCAGATTCAAGAATTTGTTGTAAACATTTTTACATCAAAATTTCCAGAATTTTACTCAAAAGGTATAAAAGAGCTGCCTGATAAGTGACAAGAAGTCATTGCAAATAATGGTGAATATATAATTGAATAAAATGTAATTGTTCTTTATTTATTTAAGAATAAATTTGATAAACAAAATCAGAAATTATTTATGAATATATATAGTATGATTACTGAAAAGACATTGTAGGCAATGGAACCAATTATATTACTATTCAGTTGTCCCAGAGAGTAGCAGACTGTGAATGTAAGGTCCTTATTTTAGATGAGGGTTCTGTAGAGCATGCACATGTGTTGGCTGAGAGTCATTTTCACTCTGGTGAGAAGAGATTTCCCATTTAGAGAAGGCCCCAAAGACATGCACAATCATGTGTCTATATTAAACAGAGATAGTCTGGAGTTGGATAAAGAATAATTCTTTGTATCAGGGTCTTGGTCTTGTAAATCTTTTGGCTGGCACACCCACTTGTACACACACATGCTGTTTCTACTATGAATTTAAAGATTCTTGATAAAATCCAAAGCAGAATCTGTAATGTCATCAATCCTTACTATCCACATCTCTATTTCAGTCAGTATCCTTTTCCTATTAAGTAGCATCCCTATACTTTTTCTATAAATATCTTCAAGGTAATTGTTCTAATAATATTTAACTTTGGTATTTCAAATTTACAAATTTAAGTGAAGTAATAGATTGGCAGCCAATTCTCAGACTTGAAATTACAAGATATACCTGTAAGTTTTTGATAGCAGTTTCTTCTCTTATATTTCTCATTTGTAGAACTCTCTTCTTGCCTTTTGCTTTCCAGTCAATTTTGATGTTCAAAAATTTAAAATGCAATCCTAAAAATTTAAATTGCAATCCTAATTGTTATCTTTTCTCTTTTTAATACCTGTTCTTTTATAGGCCTCTCTGTTTAATAATGTTTTTTTCATATTCTTTTACACTCAGTAACCCCTTGCATCTTAGTGGCTTCATTATCCTGCTTGGGCTGAAATTAAATATATATATATATGTATATGTTTGTATGTTGTATATCAGGATAATCGATTAAGTTCATGTTTGTTTCTGATTTCCCAGTCATTATCAAGAACCATATGCTGTCAGTGCGGTAAGCAAGATTCCACTGGCAACGTCATGGCATTTCTTATAGAGCAAGTTTGAATTAGACAGACCATGTCAGTTGAATTAAATCAAATTTGTTTGTATAAATACATAATGCCTAAATATACCTTATACATATATGTGTGTGTGTGTGTGTTCCCAGTTTGGTCAGCACTGTTAGGGTTTGGAGGGGGGGACACTGGGGTCCAACTCAAGATATAAGTTATCAGTATCAATATTTTTGTGTCAGCCCTGAAGCTTAAGAGGTGATGAGTCATTTAAAACACTTTTTTTCTAAAAGAAACCAAAGTTATAATAAAAACTAAAAACTAACCCTGTTGGAAATTATAGTAGGCATTTATCCATATATATATATATATATATATATATATATATATATATATATATATATATATGTAGGTATGTGTGTGTGTATGTATGTATGTGTGTGTATGCAGGCACTTGTACAGATGCATGTGGCAAATATATGCCTATTAAAATACCTTGCAATGAATTATCTTAGTGACAGGATTTTATACTGAGACAAGCTTTTCAATAAACTCTTTTTATTTTATTTTTTACTTTTTGCTTACTCAGGCATTCTTGCTTTTCCTAATTATTTTACAACCTTTTTATTCTTAATCTTTTTCCTTCCATCCTTCCTTTCTTCCTTCCTTTCTTCCTTTCTTCCTTCCATCCTTCCTTTCTTCCTTTCTTCCTCCCTGCCTCCTTTCCTGCATTCTTTCCTTCCATCTTTCTTCTCTTCTTTTTTCTTTTTTTCCTTCCTTCCTTCTTTCTTTCCTTCCTTTCTACCTGCCTTCCTTCCTTCCTCCCTCCTTGCCTTCCTCCCTTTCTCCCTTTTTCCCTTCCTTCCTTCCTTCCTTCCTTCCTTCCTTCCTTCCTTCCTTCCTTCCTTCCTGCCTGCCTGCCTTCCTTCCTTCCTGCCTGCCTGCCTTCTTTCCTTCCTTCTTTCTTCTCTTCTTTTTTCTCCTTCCTTCCTTCCTTCCTTCCTTCCTTCCTTCCTGCCTTCCTTCCTTCCTTCCTTCCTTCCTGCCTTCCTTCCTTCCTTCCTTCCTGACCTTAGTCCTTTAATTATTTTTTCCTTCCACTTTTCATTCCTGTTTCCTTTTTCATTTGTTCTTTATTATTTCTTTCCCTATTTCTTGTTTCCTTCTACTTTTCATTATTCTTATTCCTATCTTGTTTCTCCTCATCTCTATTCCTTTTTCCTTTTCTACTTTCTTTTTTTATTCTTTCTTTCTCTTAAATTTTATTCTTTGATTCCTTTTTATTTTTTTAATTTTGTCTTTTTTCCTTCCTTGCCTGTTTTTTTTTATTCCTTACTCAATCTTTTTGTATTTTTTTATTTTTTTCTCTAACCTTCTGATTATTCTTGTTTTCTTTTTTCATGTAGCAATTTTTCATATTCCTTCTTTTTCACATGAAACTATTTCCCCTTAGAAACATTTTCTTCCTCCCTTTTTTTCTTCACCATTTAACTTTTTATTCTCAATTCCTTATTCAGTTTTTCCTCTTCCTTTTTTCTTGTTAGTTTTCTTTTTTTTCGGTGCTTCTTGATAAATACTTTCTTTCTCTGTTTCTCCAATGCTTCTCTTTGATTCACTTTCTTTTGTCTTCATTCCTTTTACTTCTTTTCATCTTTCCCATTTTCTTTCTACTTCTTTAACACTTATTCTTTTTTTTTCTCAACCATATTTTTTTCCTCTTTTTTCTTTTTTTTTCTTCTACTCCT